TCACAAAGATTTTCTTGTAGCCATTTCAAAATTTAGCCTTTACATTTAGATTTATAACTTATTTTTAGTTAATTTTTTACATATGGTGTGAGGTTAAGGTTGATGTTCATTTTTCTATGCAGATATGCAGTTGTTCAAACATCATTTGTTGAAGAGACTTTCCTTCCCCTATTGAATTGCCTTGTCATCTTTGTTGGAAATCAGTTTGATCACGTATATATGGCTTTATTTCTAGATTCTCTGTTCTGTCTATCCTTTCTCCAATACCATACCATCTTGATTAGTGTAGCTTTTTAGTAAGTCTTGGAATCAGGTAGTGTATGCTTTCTAACTTTTTCTTTCTTTTTAAAAAATTGCTTTGGCTATTCTAGATTGTTTACCTTTTCATATAAATTTTACAATCAGTTTTGTTAGTTTTTTTTCTTTTAAGCCTGATGATATTTTAACTGAAATGGTATTGATTATAGATCATTTGGGGGAGATTTGACATCTTAATATTGGATTTTCCAATCTGTGGATATGGTAAATCTCTTCATTTATTTAGCAGTCATCTTTAAATTCTCTTAAATGTGCCTATCTCTTTTGAGTGTGATTTAATTTATTGAACCCCTCCTCTAGGCCAAGCGAAGTACAAAGTGCTTTACACTTTATCTTCCATTATTACCTGAAAGCATGTATTGTGCTCATCATGTTTAGTGGGGCAGCTACAACTAAGAGAGCTTAAGTCACTTGCCCAGAGTCACGGGGCTAAGGAACGTTGGGCCTGGGGATCACAAGAGGCCTGCCGGCTCCAGAGGCTGTGCTCGTAGTCACCAGTAGTCAAGTTACTATGTTGAGAAACTACAAATATTTATTTATTTAAAGATATTCTTAGCTGCTGTTGCATGCCTGTCTCCCACCTATACTATTTCTCCTAACCTGAAATAAATATATGAACTATATGAGTGGATAGATATATTCATGGAAGGGCAAATAAATCTTTAGTCCACCATCTCAGACTTACAGAAATGCATTTTAATTAGCCTGGATTTTTTTTCTCTCTTGTCTGTCTCATCTAGACATCAAGCAAAAGATAAGTCTTGTACAATCAGTATCACACAGGAAGTCATTAGAATTCTCCAGAGTCGTCTAATCACATGCCACCCCATTGATGTGTTGGTCACCTGGCACCATTATCCTGCCCTGTGTGTGAGGTCTCAGAATACAGCACACTTGGATTTCTCTTGTTAAAAGTTATCTGGAACTTCAGTTGTGTCTAATGGTTCTTTCTTCCTCCTTTTAAAAAGACAAGAAAAATGAATGGGCTGTTTTATAACTCCTTTTCAATCCTCTGATCTTCAGAGAGGAAAAATGTTGAAAGGCACGGTGCAGCTGTTTTATGTTGTAGTTTATAATCTAATTAAACGTATTTTATCCAGATCATTATAGACTTCATTAGAGCTGGACTTTTTATAAGAAAGATGATGAGTAAGATTTATGCAGAATCATCTGGGTCTTTAAAATTTTGTGATCCTGCCAGCAGTGCCTGATGAAAAAAGAATTTCAAATCTGCCTATCTGATTTAGTTGGTCATTTATTTTTGGAAAGTTCGTGCTTCCGATTTTGCTCACGTTTTTGTGAGCTTATAGCTTTCAGAATGATTAATAAGTGAAGTTTGTTGTTTCAGAGAGAGTACCATTTGGGAATGATGCATTGTCTTCTTAGAAGCCTATGTATCATTTGAACATCTTGGTACATATGGGAAATAAAGCATCTAAAGTAATTGACATAATCTAGGTCAAAAGAGAGAAGAAATTACATTTTACTTGCTGTGTTTTTTGTACTGGAGAAGAAATTAGTTTCACGGTCTACAGTTTAATTGCTGAATTTTTCTAGCATCGGGGAGAAATTGATTTGAAAAGAGAAAGTGACTCATGTCACTTAGTTGTGTAATTTATAAATAAAGGTTTCACTCTCAGTTTGTTTTAGGTGTGATGACCAACTTCTGCATGACTCCCTACTCTAGCACATAAAAAAGAAAATTAATGTTAAGCTGTGCTTAACAAAAATTCATCCTTTTAAAGAATTGCCGTTAGGATATCTTACTGTAATTTAAAATTTTGTGAATTAGGGTACGTCTGTGGCTTTGAATTTGCCCATCCTTTTAGCTCTGATCATGTGATTCTCAGGACATGCATAGCTTTTCCCCACTTGGATAATTTATTCTGTAAGTTTCACAGTGGTTGGTCTCAAGCAATCTTGAATTGTTATTCAGTAAGGGACAATATTAAAATATAATTTGATAGTTAATATTGTGTTGGAACTTTGGTCTTGCCCTCCTCCGTTAAGCCATAAAACCTGCACTTCCCTTGCTCTCTCCCATCCATGGATGGGACCGCGTAATCATACAGACATACCATGCAGCTGGCACACGATAACAAATTCTTCAGCCATCGCTCAGTATTCTTACTTTTAGTTTTAAACTGCTTACAAAGATCTAATTTTCTTTTTCCATACCCTTTACCTCCTAATCTCCTGCATATATGGCCCGGGAATTCCTTTTGCTTTTTGTGATCTCACCATGTACATGGTACCTGACACTCAGAGCCACTTCTTCCTGCATGTGCTTTGGCTTCCCTCCTGCACCGTGATTAATGCTGTTCCTCCAGGTAGACCACCTTCGGTCATTCTAGGTGAGCAGCATACGCATCTGGCCTGCCCTTGAGACTCTCATCTTTTCCCAGCCTCCCATGTAGGATGCTCTCCTCTTAGTTTATCTGGTAGCTGTCGCTTAACAGATGTACGGTGGGCCATCTGGATCTGTGGGTTCTGCATCCTCAGAGTCAACCAACTGTGGATCAGAAATATTCAGGGAGAAAAAAATTCCAGAAAGTTCCAAGAAGCAAAACTTGTTTGCTATGTGCTAGCAACTATTTGCATAGCATTTACATTGTATTAGGTGTTACAAGTAATGGAGAGGTGATTTAAAGTATAGAGGAGGATGTTATATGCAAATACTGCTCCATCTTAACTAAGGGACTTGAGCATCCACAGATTTTAATATCTGCAGGGATCCTAAAACCCATGCCTAGCAGGTATTTAGGGACTTCTGTATTGTATGTCGTTGCTTTTTGAATTCATAGTTGGCTAAGATTATATCTATGAAATTTTTTTGGTGTTTGTTGGGCTAGGCTTACCTGGCTAGAGACCATTGTGGGGCTAGAGCTTTTTGGTGATCCTTTTACTTGAAGAAAGATATAAAAGTTCTAGACATGGCAGTGGGTCTCATGAAGGCCTATACTGAACCTCTAATCTTTGATTTTGAAGTGAAATTTGTATTGTATGGCCCTCATCTCCATGCACTTTGTGAGAGGCTGCCCATACATTCACTGCTTGCTATCTGACTAATATTAACTAATATTCCTTATTGATGTTTCTTCATCTAGATCTTACATTTTTGTTGTTAAATTTATCCTGTGTATCATCTGATGTGTATTGCTACTTTCTGTCAAATATTTTTTATTAAATATCTAGCAGTTTTTTCTAGTATAGTGAAAACTTCATGATTTTTTTCAGTGTATTTATCTTGCGTCTATGCATCTTAGGAAATCCTCTTAAGTATTTTTTAAAATTAGAGTTGGATTTTCAGAGTATGTACTCATATCATCTGCAAGTAAAGACTATTTGTGTGCACATATAAAATTTATATACATATACATTTTTCTTTATATCAAGCAGAGCCTTCAATATTTTTAATGTTTTAAAGAATTAATATTTTTAAAGAGTTAATGATAGTCATCCTTGCCAAGTTTCTCATTTTAATAAAAAATAAAAATGAGTTTAACATTAACCACTTAGCATTAAGTTCGCTATTGAATTTTGCTAAGTTGTCTTTATCATGTGTAAGTAATTTTCATCTTAGCATTTTTTAGACATATTTATTAACTTAATTTGTTATATACATGCTAGCCTCCATAAGGGGCCTCATTACTTGTTCTGCCCCCTTGGTTCAGATAGAGAATTCTTCATAAAATTTTGTGCCTGATGAAGAGGGCTGGAAACCAGTTTACTTGATGAATTTTTTTTCTCAGTGACCTGTGACTTCTAGCTTCTCTGCCAAATATGAGATAGCCCATGTCATCTTTAAATTAGTTCTATCTTTATATAAGTCTTTATACTGGCCTAAGCATTAAGAGGTTTATGTATGTTTCCTTGAAAGTAAAATAAATATCATGTGATACCTTCATTTAATGCTTTGTGTTCATCTAGAATGTGTTATTTTGGTGTGTATGGACATTGACTTATTTAAGCTATTTTCCATAAATCAAACCATGGATCATTATAATTTGTACTGAGAACTGAACCCAAGTAATAATTTTTAATGCACAATGAACTCTCCCTAATCTAAAGAAATATACTGTGAATCAATAAAAGTTAGATCTGTGTTTAATTATTTACAAACCATTGAATTAGAAGAAAATTGGAATCTATATTATTTTGTGGTATGATTTCTTTCCATTTTTTAAATACACATCTTAGACAAAAAAGGCTGCAAGTGGACTTCACTGAAATTTGGGAGAAAAATAAAGCATACTGGGAGAACGTACCCTTTCTCACCAGAAACTACCTGAATACTCTGCAGCAGTTACAGTAAACCCTGAATATTCCCAAATCAAGTGTTCTGACAGCTTTTCCTTTACTTAGGAATCCCAGAAATCCATGGTGAGAATCATTATTCAATTTACTCTCTGTGTTCAGGATTTTTGCCTCTTGCAGAGTTCTAACCCCAGTGTTTCTGAGAAAGGAACACACTGTCATAGCTTTGGGAAGCTGCCAGGGAGAAAGTACCCCCTCAGACAACAATTTTTTATTATCCTTTTACTGCACATGTGATACATTATTCCTCAATTTCTAAGCACATTTGTTATAAATGCTGTTTAATCATATTTTAAAGGTAAACAGCATTTATCAAATTATCATCCGCTATCCCACTGTAAGTCAGCACCAATTCTTCACCACACACATGTGCTCTGTGTGTTTATTTTTTGTTCCATTAGCTGTCCAAAAGTTGAGAGCTACACCCATGCCCTGTTGGGTTATTCCCTGTGTTTCTGCCATCTCCTGTATTAAAATAAGCATCTTAATTTGGTAGTGTTGGTTCTATCCCAAGATATGTTGAAGTTATGTGCAGGAGTTAATTTTGCTTTTCTGGACCTTTCTAAATGTCTGTGATGTTCAGGCATTTCATTTTCAGAATCTGTGGATGTCTTAATTGGCTTGCTTTTAGCACTTTACATAGTAGTATGAGCTCAGTGAGTATTTTTTTCATTGAATGGCAGCAATGCATGGTGAGACTGATGGATTATACAGTTCTGTGTGGATTATCGGAGATTCTTAGATTTCTTGATTCCTATTTGCCTATTTTTGATAATAATTGTAATGGAGGCAGTGTTAGTCCATGGAGAAGATAGAATGGATGATGATGTGTGTTTTATGTGTTTGTGTGTGTGTGTGTGTGTGTGTGTATGGTGTATGTATGTTCATATGTTGGCATGTGTTAGTCTGTATGTAGATAAGAGTGAGGATAAAGAAGTAGTGAGAATGGCTGAAAAAAAGAAAATTTTCCCATTGTGTTCTGGAAATTGTTCTAGGCCATTCAGGCCATTTGATTTTTCATTTATCACTCAAGACACATTTATTAATCATCTACTAAGAGCAGACATTATACAGAGTCCTGGAGATAGCCTCAAAGAACCTAGCCCAGTAGAAGAGATGGCAGAGAAATATGTGGTCAAGGCTTTGATAAAGATAAGTATAGAGTTCTCTGGTCAAAGGACAAAATAAGGCGTCCATTCAAGAATGGAATTGAAGAAGGCTTTCAAGAGGTGAGTCTTGGGTTTAGTCTTGAAGATTAAGAAGGTGATAGGTTGCCAGAGAAGGAAGGAAGGGGGGCTTTATGCAAAGGAAACAGCAGATGTGAATGGTTGATTTAATTTCTTCTTGGGGGATAGAGGAGAAACATTTTGAACTTAAGATGTCACACTAGGTTCCTGTTTGAGAACTGATTCACTCATAATGTTACGTTCTTTCATATGGGTAGATAATCTAACAATACCCACAAAGAGCAAAACTATTGCCATTGAATGTTCTGTACTTTGCAGTCTACACCACTTGAAGCTGCCATGCCCCTTATTGCTTCATTTGCAATTAGGAATTTATAGACAGTCTGAGGATGTGTTTCTTTTTAAATTGAAGTGTAATTGCCATCCAGTATTCTTTTGGTTTCGTGTATGTAACATAGTGATTTGACATTTCTGTACATTGTGAAGTGATCACCACAATAAGTCTAGTTACCATTTGTCACCATACAAAGTTAATACAATGTTATTGACTATATTCTTCAGGCTGTACATTACATCCCCATGACTTATTTATTTTATAACTGGAAGTTTGTACCTTTTACTCCCCTTTACCTAATTAGGCCCCCCCTTCCTCTGGCAACTACATGGCTTTTGAATTATGATTATTTTTCTATAAATTCTTCATGGATTTCCTCCAGTTTTTTCTTGTCATATTAATTTGTTTCTAATCTTAATTTTTTTTGCCATTCTTACAATATGTAATATGTATCTATGAATCCAGAGAAACATCTTAGAAATATTAATTAGCATTGGAGAGTATAAAAAATCCAAAGGATGATCCACATAAGGATAGAATTTGGAAGGAAATAGTTGGCTCTCTGTGTCTTTTTAGCTGTGCATTCTGGGACACACAGATCACCTGCCTCAGCAGCCTGTTGTAGTTGGGAGAACATGGGTGTTGGAATCAGATGGACTTGGGGTCACATCCTCAAAATGTCAGTTATGAGTCATGATCTAGGATGAATTCCTTCATCTTTTTGATCCTCAATTTCCTCATCTATGAAATGAACACACATTAAAGCTAACTTTGCAGGAGAGGGTGTTAAAGAAGGTGTTACAAAATACCCCGTAAAAGCTTAAGAAATAGTAGCTTTTTTGTATATATATATATTTTTTTATTGAAGTATAGTTAGTTTACAGTGTATCAATTTCTGGTGTACAGCATAATGCTTCAGTCATACATGAACACACATATATTTGTTTTCATATTTTTTTCACCATAAGTTACTACAAGATACTGAATATAGTTCCCTCTGCTACACAATATGAATTTGTTGTTTATCTACTTTATATATATTAATTAGTTTCTGCAAATCTCGAGCTCCCGATTTAGCCCTTCCTACCCTCTTCCCCGCCTGGTAACCGTAAGTTTGTTTTCTGTGCCTGTGAGACTGTTTCTGTTTTGTTGTTTGTCTTTTTTTTTTTTTTTTTTTAGATTCCACTTATAAGTGATATCATATGGTATCTTCCTTTCTCTTTAGTAGCTATTCTTATTGGTAGTTTCATCTAGGAATGCATATTATGATTAAAGCATAGGTATTTGGTTATACCTTTATTTTTCTAATAAAGATTTGATACCATATAAATTGAACTAGATATAACTCTATCTGAATTTTTATAACTCTATTTTCCATCTGAATCCATTGGAAAAGAGATTATGACCCCTCTAATTGTCTTCCAGAACCAGAAATTAAGATGTTTCTAATATAGGCACTGTATTTGAGTGCCCTAGACGTGGAAATTTTGCTCCTCCTCTCTTTAGGATTACTTTCTTGTAGAGCATAATTGCTGTTGAATTACCCACTAGGCAGAGTTCAGGCTATTGTGTGCATGTTTAATGCCCCAGCAGCACTGAAATGTGTGCACAGGGACACATACAGAACCACTTTCCTTTCAGAAAACTCTGAACTCTGGTTAACTCTGAACAAGTTAACCAGAAATTTATTTTTAGAAATACTATAAAGATGTTATGTTAATTTCAGCACATGCAACATTTTTTTCTTTTGATGTATAGTGTTGTTTTCATTTTGAAATCCACATTGTGGGGAGAAATTTAGGAGCACCAAATCTCTTCACTGCTTGGGGGACTTGAAAGAGTTTCTTCCAGCCCTCAGGATGAGAGGTATATCTTAATTAGGAGGTAGTTCCTAGCATGTAGTTCTTCAGCACTTATATGTCAGGGATGGAAAAAGCACAACCATCTGTCTTTCAGTTCTTTGCCATTTGTGCAATATTTAACAATTTTCAAACAAAACTCTAAGCAGCAGGATATTTAAATGCAGCAGAATCAGTGAAGTGTAGACCACGAAATGGTAAAGTTCTATAGGAATTTAAGAATGAGCTTAGTGTAGGAGTTGTCAAAGTATTTTAGCAAAACCCCTTTCTTACAGTGAAGGAGGATACAGGAGCCCTCCAAGCCATTTTGGTAAGAGTGTATCGATGCTTACCAAAGGGAGTGTGACAGGAGTGGGAAGCCCCGGGACTGTCCTTTGATTGCCGCCCACTCAGCCCACTGGACTCTGGGGAGATTCTGGGAAGCAGAGTTTGTGACTACTGGTTTAATATAAGCCCCAGCTGAGAACCTTGACACCCAGAAGGATTTACTCCACTGTGGCTAAACTTGGATTGTTTCTCTTTGGGAGCTGCATTTTAAATTAATTTGGCGAATTCCTATCAGAAAACTATGTTCAGAGGGTATTATCAGCTTTATTGGGATATTTCATCTGAGAAAAACAAAACATGCTATCAGAGTCATTCCAAGACCAAGTTCCTGTTTGTGTGAGAGAAAAGATAAGCAACAGCATTTCTTAGGTCTGTGATGGCCAAGCACAAATAGTTGACTCGTGAATGAGCTGTGACGGTTGGTGTCAAGCCAAGGGGTTTTAATCCTGGTGGTTTTCCTCTTTCTTTAACTCCTCAGCTTGGAGCTAAATAAGTCTACTTCCTTTTAAATCTTTGCTTGTTAATAACATTCAGACTGTGTATATGATGCAGTAATTATCCAGAATAGCCCCAAATTAATTATAAACCCAAGTATTAGAACACATCCATTTGAAAGGTGAATGCTTTTTCTGATTCATTATAGGGTCTTGTTAGGTTGGTTGAATAAATACCCAAGAGAAATGTCTTCCTTAATGTGACATAGCCACAGATGATGTTGGGCATTCACTGTGACTCCTGCTACAACAGTGGTACTGATCCACCCTGAGTTAGTCCAAGTTACTTTTCTAGGACGCAGAATGAATTTGGGCCCAGCCACTGTCTTTTCTTCCCAAATCTCTTTTGATCTTGTGGTTAAGATGCTGAGAACTCTCAGGCCTGGGCTATGTGTTTGAAATACAATAAAAGGTAATTGGCAAAGAGAGGACTGAACCTGTGACCTTGCCTGCACTACAGCATGACCCAATCAATTGAGAAAACTCCTGCCCATAGCTTTTCTTTCGAGGGTTCTCCTCTCTTTATTGCCGTGTAACTGATGTCTGTTATCTTGTGACTCAACTCAACTGTCACCAATTACTCCTACCCTTTTAATCCCACATGGTATTCTTGCACATTAGGTGCTTAGTAAAATTTATAGAGTCAATTAGTAAATGGAGACATGAGGTCTCTAACCAGTTTGCAAGCATCCGTTATTCCCTTGAGGAATACAGTGATATTATGGTCACATTTCAAAGGCTGCCTCAGATTATCCTAGGTATTGTGCTTATAATTGAGCTGTCTTTCTTGTTCCCTAAAGTCTATTTATCTTGGCCACTTTGGTTTTATATGTTGACCTTTGTAAATATATATTTTCTAATATATATTTTGTAGGCAATATAATGAGATGGGGTGGATATATATATCTGTATATGTCTATGTTTACATCTGGATGAATATATAAAATATTTATCAGCATACGCACATATATGGAGGGGCATCTAAATTTGAATAAATTTGTTCCACCATGGACAGAGCAACCGATTGCAATTTCGATTATTTTATAACTCTACTGAGAAATTTCAGATTGTTGTTACTCATTGCTAGTATTGTTACTATTTAGAATGCAAAGCCACATTGAAACCTCCAGATTTCCACAGTCTGTGTTTTGTTCCTTCACCTACAATCATGTTTGCTTTTCATGGTAGGAAAAAAATAAGCAAAACTAATTGTGGCTTTGAAATATTAAACCCCAGTAGAGACTTGAATGTCTAATATTTTTTTCTGCAAAAGAAACCCATCCTGGTTTGTGCAAATAAGTATTTAAATTGGCAATGCTTTAATTTCCATGTTTCTACTTACAAAATGTCCCTAAAGATACTTGTTTTTTAATTTGTAGAAGGCAGAAATTTCACTCCACCAAATTCACTACAAACTAAGGCTAAGAACCCTTATACCCCGGAGCAAAATTACGCAAAAGGAGAGTGTAGGTCTGAGAGGGAAACACTGAGAGATCCCTTAGTGGTGAGAAGGGCAGGTGAGATGTCCCTGTATCACTACTGATGGAAGGATGTTGGGCTGGGCATGCCATTCTGCCTCTGCACATGATATGGAGAATTCTTATAAGGATCTGATTTCTAAGGGTTTTGGTATTTGTATAGAGAAGTGGATGTTAAGGTCTGGAATTCAGTGGCCTGGGAGTTCCCTCAGGCACTTGGGAGTAGTTTTGTCTCAGCCATGATTCTCACTTTATTTTATGTTACAGCCTTCCTTCCATGGAAGATTTTATTTGAGAAATAGGTTCCACTAATTCAGACATGCTGTTAAAACCCAGGTCTTAGAAGGCTGACTGGTGGTCTCATTAATAAGATTACTGATGGTCGCACAGGCTTCCTAATTCAGCTTAAGTTGGAGTCTCTCTGCCTGGAGTTTCTTATGGTTTTGCTCAATCTTTGTTCTTTTTCCAAGTGCCACACAAAAATCTGAAGCCACAAATAGCAGATGAATTCACTCATGTTAAAATAAAATTTAAACAAATTCTACATCGCAAAACCCCTATCGGAAAAGTTAAAAACCAAACAGGGGGATGGGTGGGGAATAGGAAAAATAGGCAAGAGGTTTGTATGTTAATATCTCAGCAAAACACAAAAAGAGAAAACAGTTCTCTCCCAACTGGTTCAAATGAGGAGACATAGAGTAAGGGGCAAGGTGAAGGGAATGAACAAGGCATGATGACCTCAAAACCAGCAAGGGCAGGAAAACATTGCCATCCTTCGGACTGAAAGCATGAAGGGAGAAAGTAGTGTTAACGGAGCTCAGGGAGAACCGTGAGAGGGGGATGACAGATTGTCCAGATGGAGTTGTAAGTATGGAAGGATGTAATCACTGTGAGAAATATGGCATTGGAGTGACAAAGAAATAGAAAAGAAATACCCTGACGTCTCTGTTCTCCCACCTTCCCATCTCATTTCCTCTGGGTGCCTCCCAGTTACTAAACCTTACCAGGCAAAGGAGCCCAGGTGATGCTGTCCTCAGAAGTCAGCACCTAGGACACAGATGAAAAGATCCTCAACTCCTTCATAATAAGAGCAGTGCAAGTGAAAAGTACACTGAAATGTCATTTCCTACCAATCAGATTAGCAAAGAGCAAGGTGTTTGCTAGTTTTCTGTGTTAGCAAGTGTATCAGGAAACACTGTGTGTGTGTGTGTGTGTGTGTGTGTGTGAATGCAGTATCTCTCAAATTACAAATGCATATACCCTTTAACTGAGCAATTACACTTATATAAATTTATCTAATAGATACTGTAGCAAGTACATGAAGTAACATGTGTAAGGATATTCATTGCAGCCTTATTTGTAATATGAAAAGAATGGAAACAACCTAGTGTCCACCAATGGACTGGTTTTATAAATTAAGCTATATCCATTCAATGGAATACTATGAAGTCATGAAAAAGAATAAGGAAGCTCTTTATGTCCTCATATGAAGTTAATTCTAAGTTACATTGTTGAGTGTGCAGAGAAAATAAAAATAGGGTTTGTAGGATATGGCCATTTGTGTAAAACATTAGGAAGAAAAAATACATAAACATTTTCTTATATATGCATAAAATAGAAAACTCATAAAGCGATAAAATTGGATGCCTCTGGAGATGGGGGCTGGAGACAGGGAGATTTTTTTTTTATGTTTCAAACCTTTTAAATTTGATTCCTGTCAGTGTATTACAAAGTAAAGAAAGTAAGAATAATCTTGTGGACCACTTAGTTGGAGTCTTAGATAGCTTTCATCTGAAAACTTGGTTTAGGAGAATCTCAAAATTCTAGTCTCTAACTTGGGACTTCTGATAATTTCACAGACAAGATCTGAGAAGCTGGCAGATTCAGTGTGATATGGTGGCTCTTAAGGCTTCTGTGAGGATGCTCTTTCTCCTCCTTAACCCAGTTTCATTGGCGAGTTGGTATTGGTCCCAGATGTTGCCTCTAAAATTTTTGCTTCCCTCAGCAGACTTGAAATCAGTATTGCTATTTATTTTTTTAATGTGTTATCTACCATTATCTACCATTGGGCTTTCAACCAATTCATCCTGCCCCCATCTACTGGTCTGATTTATTGAAATTTTTCTGTACATCTGTCATCCCTCCTTAAGATAAATGTATGCTTTAGTTATTTGGAGCAGTGTCTTTTGAATATTTATTTTGATATGGAGCAAATTGTGGATTATCAACAAGTAAACATTTGGACAATCACAGGATCAAAATATAGGAACAAGTCTGGATTTCTCAAATCTGTCTCTTTTTATTTATTTTTTTTTCCTGGGCAATATTTGTCTGAAGTGGAAAGAGCTGAATATGGATGAGCGCATGTTGCAAACTGATTTTCAACTGTAATTGCTTTGCGGTATGAAAATAGGCAGGGAAAGTAGATTGAGAATATAGGCAATCAGAGATGAGATTCTTACACCTGCCAGATACCGTGTGTAGCACACAGGCATCCACAGAGAAACTGAAATGCTGCTATCTTGTGACAAGAGGTTCCAATTATTGTGATTTGGAGGCATCTGTCTGCCAGTCGCTCACCTCCTGAAATGGCAATACTGTCCTGACACTGGAGTCAGTCAAAAGGCTCATTTAGTGAGTGGCACAGGAGTCATCCTGGGAACTTGACTCTGGGCAGTGACCCTCATTCTCTTGCATTTACTTCAACTCAGGACCAGCAGCTCACAGGCAATGCTCCTAACTGAAGGCTTGTGACAAGATGGCATTTATACAATAAATACCATTCTGAAAACATATGTTCCTCAAATACATGGCTATGGAATAGAGGTTTAACATAGCAAATTGCCAGGTTTTGATCACTGAAATGAAGATATGTTTACCACCTTAATTTTGGCATGAAAAAGATTTGAACAGTGTGTGGACCATTTCAGGCCCTGATTTAGAATTGAAGAGTTCAGACAGGGCCACCTGGTAATTACATAGCCCGAGGCAGTGAACTGGAGGAAAAGAGATGGTGGTGTTTGTACTGCCAAAGACTTTGCTTCTAATTTTATTTTTGAGGCTAGAACACAAGGCTGCTTCATCCTCTGTGTATGTGCATGTGTGTGTACGTGTTTGTGTGTGTGGGTGTGTCTTCTCTTCCTTTGCTTGTGTTGTAACCAGGAACTTCATACAAGCTAATTCATACAGCAAGGATTAGGCAGAGGGGATAGAGATCTCTGGGAAAGGTGGGATTACTTTGCAGCATCAGCAAAGTACTGAGGACTGCTGCAGTCCTTCAGGAGGCCAAGGTCACGTATCGGCCCGCAGAACCAGGATGGGTACTACTGGAGCCAGCTGCATCCTGCCTTCATGCCCCATGCCCTCCCAGCCACATGCCCAGATCCCCAGCCCATGCTCACCTCCCCCCTCTCTGCAGGTTCATTTAGCGTAATTCTTTGAAGGTTCATCTAGTTTGTTGCGTGTATCATTAGTTTCTTCCTTGGCTTAAAGACTTAAACATAAGGCAAGACACCATAAACCTAGAAGAGAACATAGGCAAAGCATTCTCTGATGTAACTCGTAGCAATGTTCTCCTAGGGCAGTCTACCCAGGCAATAGAAATAAAAGCAAAAATAAACAAATGGGACCTAATTAAACTTATGAGCTTTTGCACAGCAAAGGAGACCATAAATAAAATGAAAAAACAACCTATGAAATGGGAGAAAATATTTGCAAACTATGCAGCTGACAAGGGCTTAATTAGAATATACAAACAGCTCATACAACTCAATAACAGAAAAAACAAACAACTCAATCCAAAAA